TGCTTGGATTTTATCAATTCTTTTCATCGGTGCTTGGATCTTATCAATGCTTCTCATCAGTGCTTAAACTTTGTATATGCCTCTCATCATCTGCGCAACTACGGAATTTCTCTTGGAGATTTAACACATCTATTGCATTAATTGGACTTAGAACTGGAAAACATCAAGGATAATGGGATGGGATAAATAAATCTTAAGCCTTATATCCATTGTTTCTTAAACCACAGACCATGGCCATGTTACAACATTCAAAAGTCTTAATTGAATCAAGGTTAACTATGAAAGCATACTCGGAAAAATTTGTGTTAAATTGACTCCTATGTTTGTTAAAATTATTCCTAACCACTTACTTCGCTTCTTCGAATCTCCATCTCTAATCATCCATTTCTATTCAAACTTTGATTTCAAAACTTGCATGTGCATAAAACAGAATTACTTTTCAAAGTGTACAATTTTATCTACGAATCAATACTTAGCATCAAGGAGATCTCAAAATTGGTTTAATCAGAAGTGATCCTTTCCAGGGAGCTCCTAACCAGAGGCAAAGAATCTAAAGTAGAACCCTATAATCATAAGAAAAACTATTGATCGTAGAGGCATATCACATGAAGATCCTATTGACTAGGGGGATCATTCTGAGATTCAATCAACTTGGATCACATTTCAAAGCGACAATCAGGGACATGCCTTTCAGAGGAGCATTCTGTAATCAAGTCATATCACAACATGGTATGACTCAGTTTCATCTTCTCAGCACACTTCTCAAGCCTCTAATAATCAAGGGGCAGCCTTTCAAGACTCAAATGTTAGGGCAGTGCATATCAGGTCCATCTTACGACACGTAGGGTCCAAGTTCCTCTCAGGCAATTCAAAGTACAAAGTTTTCAAAGGTTCAAATCTTGGGGCAATTTATATTAAGTACATGGTGGGGCCCAAGTTATTTATAAGGGTACTTTCTCCAGATCCTAGAGATTAGGGGGTATATCTTTCAAAATTCAAATGTTGGGGGCAAACCACTGCGAAGACTTGATCGATAGGAGATTGATTCAAAAAGAAGTTCATCAAAGTGCATAGTGTTTCAAAACTCAAGATAGTGGGGTCATTCATATTATGATCAAACTATCTCCAAGCTCATATAAAAAAGAACCTCCTCCAAGACCTATTGGGGCAAGATATTCCACAAAGGGGCAAGCTCTCTACTTACTTTCATAATCACCAGTGAATTCTTCTCCTACATCAGCAATCTTTGAGTTTAAATCGAGTATCGAGAAACCATGTTAGCATCACGCTCTGCAATCTGAGACAAGCAACCTTGTTTCATTAGCAACCTCTATGCTTTAATCATCCACGACCCATCACAGAGGCACCAGTCAAAAGCATATGAGTATGCATAAATCATTGTCATGCATTCATTGGGTCACTTCGATCCAGAGTTAAGCTATACCTTTCATCACATCCATTTGAATTCCGACATCATGAATCTAACAAAGAGCCCAATCTCACATGGCGTCTAACCTTAAGCCTAATTCTCATTGGCACCTCAAAATTCCAACATCCATTGATGCATATCTAAGTCACTCATTACATGCATCAATTAATCATTACAGTTCATGCATCAATCAAAATGTACATGAATATCATAAAAGATTTTCATGTGAAGACAATCATCATTGTCAATCAAGTAATATGTTCTACGTGGAATCTTGACAGTAGATTCCCCTGGTTAATCTCGGCAGATGATTTTCTAGAAGACCTCAGAAGAAGGTAGTTCACAACATAATCTCGGCAGTAGATTCTCCTGGTTAATCTCGGTAGATGATTTTCCAGAAGACCTCGTAAAAAAGTAGTTCACAACAGAATCTCGACAGTATATTCTCCTGGTTAATCTCGGCAAATGATTTTCCAGAAGACCTCGGCAGAAGGTAGTTTCTCAGCAGAATCTCGACAGTAAATTCCCTGGTTGATCTCGGTAGTTGATTATCCATAAGACCTCGGTATAAGGTAGTTCTTAATCAACAATAGTTTCCTCTAGTTAATCTCGGCAAATGATTTTCCAAAAGCTTCCGACAATAGGTAGTCCTTAATTAAATCTCAGCGGTAGATTCCCCTGGTAAATTTTGGCAGTTGATTATCTAGAAGACTTCGGCTGAAGGTAGTTCTCAACAGAACCTCGGCAGTAGATTCCATGTAAAACTCAGAAGTAGATTTACCGTTAAGAGCCTCACACCAAGCATGGCATGCACATAACTATATCAAAATATCAAGGTCATTCATAATATTTGGTGCATCTAACATACGAAAACACCAAAGAGCATCTGATAGAACATAAAAGTTTATTTTGGTTAGGAAAAAACGTAGAAAGAGGTCACGCCTACGTCCATGCCCACACCTACGTCCACGTCTATTTCCACCACCATGTCCATGCCTACCTTGCGCCTATGATACAAATATCAAGATCCTGCGGACACTCTTCATCATGTTCAAATCAATTCAAGATACCACAACAACATAACATCGAGGAGTTGGTAACACAAAATCAATGGTTTAAAAGGAGAGAATACCAAAAACATTTTTCATTATATTTTGTGGAATATACAAACATTACATTTGGGGAATACACAAAATACTTGATGCATATACATGTTGGGTTCCATATAAATCTGGGACATTATGCATATACATCATATATGGCATTTTTTTCAAACATACTTTGGGCAAAACCAATATCTTGGGGTCCATCATTAGTGAGCTTATCAGTGCTAACTGGATAGTTCAAACTTTAAGAGATACCTTGGTTGAGAACTAAAACAACTGGTATCATTGGCAAAAATTTGGGGTTTATTTCTTCATGATGATAGTCTTGGTTGAGAGCAGACACAACTGACGTCATCAATTAATTTGGGGTTTATTTCTTCATGATGATATTCTTGGTTGAGAGCGTACATAACCAACATCATCAGTGAATTTGGGGTTCATTTCTTCATGATGATAGTCTCAGTTGAGAGCAGACACAACCGACATCATCAGTGAATTTGGGGTTCATTTCTTTATGATGATAATCTCAGTTGAGAGCATACATAACCGACATCATCAATGAATTTGGGGTTTATTTCTTCACGATGATAGTCATGGTTAAGAGCAGACACAACTGATATCATTAGTAAATTTGGGGTTTGTTTCTCCATGTTGATAGTCTTGGTTGAGGGTTGACACAACCGACATCATCAGTGAATTTAAGGGTCATTTCTTCATGATGATAGTCTTGGTTGAGAGCATATATAACCAACATCATCTGCGAATTTAGGGTTTATTTCTTCATGTTGATAGTCTTGGTTGAGGGCTGACACAACCGACATCATCAGTGAATTTGGGGTTTATTTCTTCATGTTGATAGTCTTGGTTAAGGGCTGACACAACCCACATCATCAGTGAATTTGGGGTTTATTTCTTCATGTTGATAGTCTTGGTTGAGGGATGATACAACTGACATCATCAATCAATTTGGGGTTTATTTCTTTATGTTGATAGTCTTGGTTGAGGGCTGACACAACCGACATTATTAGTGAATTTGGGGTTCATTGCTTCAAACCTAGCATATTTCGCTTGGTTATCGAGTCTTGGTTGAGAAGAGACACAACCAACGGTGTCTTTCCAGGTTCAAAACATATGGTTTCAAGCTCGTATTATTTATCCTCTAAGTTTCAATAGATGTGTGAATTTCCAGGGCTATAGTAGTCATCCCCTAGGATGTGATGAATAACGTCAGTCCGCCCCTGTTGTCTTTTATCCCCTATATTGCGATGAAGGCACAGGTTCATCCTCGTACTGTTTACTCCCTAGGTTGTAGTAAACATGATGAAATCTATGATATAACTCATTGCGTCAGTCTCTATGCAGCGATGTTGTTATCAAGCTTTTCAATCATCTACCCCCTAGGTTGTAGTAGGTGAGAGAATCACCTCTTCAAATATCTATTCTTTAGGTTGTGATAGATATTCGAATTTCCAGGATTATATTATTCGTTTCCTAGGTTGTGATGAATAACGTAAGCCCACCTCTATTGTCTTTTGTCCCCTAGGTTATGATAAATGCACAGGTTCATCCTCGTACTGTTTACTCCCTATATTGTAGTAAACATAATGAAATGTGTGTAATCCATTGCATCAGTCTCCATGCAGCAATGTGTTATCAAACTTTGTTTTATTCGTCCCCTAAGTTGCGATGAATATGTAAAATTCGTGTTATTAGCTTACTATGTTAGTCTCAAAGCATTAAGTCAAATTTCAAACTAATATATTATTACGCTGTAGCTTGTTGCATCAGTCTCCATGCAGCAATAAGCTATCAATCTTTCAACTTGTATTGTTTACCTCCTAGGTAATGGTAAATACGCAAAAACTATGATCTTTTTTTCTAAGTATTGACGAGTTATCCGCGTTATCATATCTAGATCAAGCTTACTCTTCAACTTTTACTCTCTACTCAAACGCAAGTAGGATGATACATCATCATCTTTTCCTATCTCTTTTGTTCAAATTCTGGTAAAGTAATATATCATCATCTTTGCCTATTTTTTCAAAACTCTTGAGGGAACGATGTACAGTGTATCCTTATCTAGCCAATCTTTGGTCAAATTTTAGGGTCTTCCATTCTTTAATAACCCTCTGATTCGAATATGCGAGACCTGCGTGTTCTTGCACCATTCAATTGAAGAGTGATTAAATAGGGGCAATTGTCATAGTCCAAATTTGCCTGCCCTTTATCACTACGGTGGAAATTAATTTCAAATTTAGATTTTTATAAAATTCTTTTGATTTACACTAATATTTTGGAGTTTTATAAATATTTGTTCTCAAGTCCAGTTAAAAATATATTAATTTATTTCAAATTATTTGTATTTTTAAAATAGCAAATATCTGTACACCTTTCATATACTTTCACTTAGGTTTATTTACAAATCATTAACACAGCACAATTAGCAAAAAATGAAGCTTACAAATATGAAGAGCATTGGGAGAACACAACCCACATATTCCATCGATCTGAAATACCACACGCTGCATACCGCAAGCTCCGTCGAACTGCGCCGCTCCACTGCCTCTGCTCTAATCGGACTCTCCCATGCGTGCATATCCTCTAATTTCGATTCGGAAAAAAAGATAAAGAAACTCCGACAAACTGCTATCACTCTGAAAAACCGTACTTATTTCGGAAACACGGGAGAACCCACCACTGTCGCAGCTGACTCCCTCAGATCGCACGAATTCCGCCAGGCCCTCCACCATTCGCTGCACCGAGATCGTCACCGATGAACATATAAAGCCAATCGCATAGCAGACTGCATCAGCCTACGCCGGATTTGTGCTCGCTGGTGCGCACCATGCCCTCCAACGCACATAGAACCTACGACCAGATCCACAAGTCGATCATAACACCAAGACCACTACATCCCACAGATCGAACCTCCCTACACATCTGCGATCTCCACGGTTATGTCGTCAATGCCAAAATAAGTCGTATCCTTCGCAGCTCAGATTGAGAAAGAAATTGAATCATAAATGGGTGAGAGATCGAGATGAAGAAGAAAAGAAGAGGAAGAGATCTTTGGTTGGTTATTGAGAGAAGTTGATGCGTTTCAACAAGAGAGAGGAAGATATGGATCTAATTTGGTGCTTTTTCTCCTTTTCCATATCTTGATACATTTGTTTATATTTTTTTAATTTTTTTAATAAGGACCTTGCCACTTGTCACAAATCTAGAGGTTGTAGAGAAATCTTGATATATAATTAAAGTTCTTCTAAATCCCACATCTCTTAGTTTAGTGATGGAAAAGAGAATTCAATGTTATATATAAGATTCAAATTTTTCTTTAAAAGATGTACCAGTCAAAAGCACTTTTAATTTGTATTTGATTTTTTATATTTTCTCTTATACTCTTGTTTTAGAGTGTTGTGAGGGGTAGTTAAATATTTGATTTTGAGAATATGAGTGTATTGAGGTCTTGGGGTGGTTGAGGGTAGTCTACATCATTATTATTTTTTTCAATTTTAGAATTTCCACGTTAATCTCTTGTATTATTATTTTGTTCCTCTTTTTTTCTATATGATTTGTTTTTCCTAATAACTAAAAGTAGCTTTGATTATTTTCATCATTTGTTTTATTATAAATCTAATAATATTTGGCAATGATGCTCCCTTTAGGTTTATGAAAATGTGGTCCATTCACCTAGATTGTGCTAAGGTTATACAAGACAGTTTGAACAATCAATTATATTTTTAATGAGTTTTTTACTCCTTTCAATTATATTTTTTATATTGATAAATTATTATTATGGTTAAATATATGTTATCCTCTACTATTTTAGCGAGTTTTAATTTATCTTTATAAAAAAATTGTGATTTCTTCCTTACCATATCTAAATTATATCTTATTGTTACTATTGTACTGACTGTGTAAGTGAATCTTTCTATATAACAATTTTAAAAATAGATGTGGACTTTTTTTATTTTTTAAATTATTTTTTTAAATTCACGTAGAATATTTTATTTTTTTATAAAATTTATATTAATTAATTATTTTACAAAATATATATTATTTAATAATTTTTATTTTATTTTTAAATTAAGAAATTATTTAAACAAAAATTTGGAGCGTATCATATTGAACATATGGCCCATTTACTCTAAGTTTATTTTCAATTCATTGACACTTATGTGTGTTTGCTATATAAACACTACTACTACTTTTATTCTTAACCATTTCATAAACAAATATTTTTATCAATAAATGAAGCCAAAATAAATGTGTCAGACTGTTTTTAATTTCATGGAAGAAACATCCCCAACACTCCTCACTTAATGCTCAAATTAACATGCATAAATTACATTTCAAATTTCACTTCTGCTCCTTATTTCTCAGAATATGTGCCATTATTGGTTCCCTGTAGTAAGAATGTTGCAAACTAAGTCCCACGTAGAAAGATGTTGCAAGAATAAGTATATCTCTCTCTGAACTTTTCTACACCTTCTGTAGCTTCATCATCAACATGATCATTAGCTCCTGCACAACAAACTTAAAACGCATGACATCAGATTCCACATAACAAATCTTCACTGGAATAACTAAGAACTAGAAAAGATGCTTCATACCAATTTCATGATGCCATGTACATGCATGCTAATTGAATCTTTAAACACCAGGCATGCTTTTCACATTTAATTTAATATATTTTTATTCTCATTGTTTTGCAAATCCACGACTGAGTGAAATTCAAGTAAAATATTGGATGTTCTAGAATATTAACTATATCTTCTACATGTTTAGAAATACTATATGTTTTACAATTTTGGATGTTCTAGAAATTTGGATGCACAAGTGCTTCATAGATGAAAAAACCATTAAAAGAAAATGCGTTAGATTTTGTGTGTGAGGTCTGTTCTAAAATATTAATAAGAAGATGAAAATAGTACGGTGAAAGTGGTATAAAATTAATTTTAAAGCATGTGTTTACATTAAGTTTTAGGTTCGATTTGTCCCCACCAATTTAGATAAATTGAATGCAAATGGGTTAACCTGTGAATTCCCTTCAGAATACTTTGAAAATCTTAATATGATTCACACATTCACGTTAAACATATCGATCAACGATATTTTACAGAATAAAGTTCTCTCATTTATTCTCGTGTACTAGAAAAATAAACGAATGATTTTGATATAATTGTTAGCATAATTTAGACTCACAAGAATGTAATTTTCTATGTCAATTTCTGATTTTTTCTTTATATCTATTTTGTCTCCAAAGTGTCTTTATTTTCTCTAAATTTAAAGTTTTATTTCCACTTAAATATATATCCAAAATGTATTTAATGTATAGCAATCGTTGACGAACTTTCAGTTTGTGTTTTCAATAATCTTTGAAAAACCTTCCTCACACGGTTCTTCACTTCTGAGAATCTCGAATTCCTTATCTTCCGTGACAAGGTTCTTAAAATTCCACATCTCAATATTTAATAGTGACATAAGACTTCAAAGTCAAAGAAATCATGAACCATCTTTAAATGATCTTTATATGTCTTATAATAAAAATTCTCATTAAAAACAAACCTGTGATCCATATCAAAACTCAATTGTAAAATTTAAAATTATAAATTTTTATGAGTTTTACCAGTTTAGTGATTGATAAACTCTACTTTAATTTCAAAATTCAACATGAAAAATTTATTACCATTCAAAGGTACATTAAAAATTGAGCAATGCGGCAGCGTTTAAATATGTGGTACTATATTCATGATTTACTTGATATCTATATACATATATGTTCACAAAACATAACAAAAATTAAGATGTATATATATAACCAACGGACACCAGATATCATCTTATATAAAAATCACTTTTATGTATAATAACATACTTTTAAATTAAAATAAAACATTTTTATTCTATATGTTTTTCATTATATCAGTACTAGTAGAATGAAAGAGCAAGAACAATTACACATTGAAAATCTAGTAACTAAAGTGTTTCACTTCATCAACGGAACTTTTTTATTAGAAATAATAGAAACGTATTCGAATCAAGAATATCAATTCTTCTCGTGTTTAAAATGTGCTTACGATGTAATAGTTCATTCTTTGATGCTTGAATCGAACCTAAAGATTGTTAGATCTTGTGTTGGAGTCTGCTGCAAAATATTAACGAGAAGAAGATGAAAAAAGTACATAAAAGTGGCACAAAATTAATTTCAAATCGCGTTGTTGTACTCCAAAATTTGTCCTCCCTTTTTTCTTTAAAGCATTCTTTTAAGGCTCTTCAAATGGTCGAAACACTCAAGATTTGATTAATCAAGGTGCTCCTCCTAGACCAAAACCCATAACTAGGGTTTGGAATTTCTCAAAGAAATTTAGTTTGAAAAGGTCTCAAATGGATTCCATGGTTTTTCATAGGTCCTCAAAAAGGTTCATGTCAAGTTTCAAGCCCTACATCACAAGTTTGCTTAGTCAATGGCTCAAATGCTTAAAAATCAACTATATTGATCAAAAAGTCAACTATGGTCAACATACAGTCAAACTTCAAGATTTTTGGTCAACATCAACATTTTGAAGTGATATTCATCATTTGATAAAGGGTTGAACATGATTCCCCAAGGAAGGTCCTCAGATCATCAAAAGTCAAGAATTGTCAAATTAGGGTTTTCCCTAGGAAAAGTCAACTTAACTTTGACCAGACATAACTTTCTCATGCTTCATCAACTTTTCCCCAACCAAAGCCCATTTTTAATAAAATTATATTCTCTACAACTTGGTTTTTATTCTCAAGTCCAAATAATGCTTCATTTGGAAGATATAATCTCATACATTATTATAGGTCATTTTCAAAAAGTCAACAAAAGACACTTTTTATCAAGGCAAATTACATCAAGATAATGTCTCCAAATGCAAAAATGATTAAAAGATAAAGTGAAGAGGACATCTTGGGTTTTCAAAAAAGTCAAAGATCATCTTCAAAAAACTAAAATTGAGCAAGTTATGAGTTTCACAAGTTGGGAAATTTTCAAGAAATACATGAAATCTCAATTGAGCAAATTTATGATTTTAAGCTATTGGGCCTAACTTTTTAGATTTCAAACATACTCATGACATATCCAAGAGCCTCTAAAACTATCCATGCATTATTTTGATTTTTATTTCTATTTATTTTAATTTTTTCATTTAAATATAAAAGAAATCAAGTGAAATATCAAACAAATGGATCAAGGCTTAAATGGGCTTCATTTGGATCATTCAAGAGGCCCAAATTCATGCAAGGTACACCATAAATGACCAGGTTCATGCAGCAAATGAAAATGGTAAAGGATCGTGAATTCTGGAAACTTTTCAAAACTTGATTTTTGTTTTAAACCATGGTTTAATAGTGTGATTCCTTGCCATATTGGTGGCTTTAATGGTGTGATTATTTACCATATTGATCTAGCCTCCTACTCCTCTATAAATACACAACATTGCAAGCTTAAAGGGGACGGAAAAAAACATTGCAAAGAAAGCTTCACAAAATTCTCAAAGTTGTAAAATTCATAACTGCATTCCCAGGTGTGATCAGTCCAAACCAGTGATCAAATCATATCGCTGAGGATCCCAGAAGTTATACCATGTCGATAACCAAGCCCTTCCACGTCCAAAACTCCCACATTCGATCATATCGACTTGGTAAGGTTTTAATTCCTCAAACTCTCTAATCATGTGATTTAAAGTAATTATATGCATACATCCATGTTGTTATCAATATTTAGAATGGATCTAACGTGTCACATGTA